GGAAATGGATGCATTAGATAAACTGCAGCTAAGAAGAATAGCACATTTCATCTGTTTTGGTTCTGCTTCAGGGAAAAGAATGGACTACCCGACCTTTCAAACACACTTACTGCCCTATCTTCTGCATGCATTTCTTGTGATTATATTTTAAATGGCAGCAAAAGCTATCGCCTAATTCTGATTATTCAAGGCAGTGAATTCTGCAAACAAGATTCAGGTTTGTCAACAACACTAAAATGTTTCAGGAAGTCTTTCCAAAAGTCAAGAAAATCTGTACACAGCTGATAAGATCATGGATCCTGTATGAGAACTGCAGGTGCTGGAAGGTGGCCCGGTCATCCCTTCTCCAAGAGATACTCTTCATCTGGGTAGTGTCATTTTCCCTCTAGGCACTCCTGACACAACTCTCATGCTTGTCTGACTTCTTAGGTAGTTGCTAAAGCTAAAGAGAACGGAAATCTATTAGATTCTAGCTTTCTGGGTTAGTTTTCTGCCAGTTTAGCAAGGTGAATTTGTTCACTGAAGACATGTCCCCGTGCAAAGGGTGGAATAGGAGCAGAGGTAAGGCTTCCACCTTCTGAGTGGAAAAACTTGTCTTATTGACCAAACCATTTGAAAGAACCACTGCCTATGTAAGAGAGATCTATCTGAAAGCCTTACCACTACTTACATATGAGCTACAGAATTATATTAGTACACTTTTATGGCCCTGCACAAGCTTGTAAGATATCACAATATAAAATATCCAACACATTCAGAGAAGAGATATCAAAAGGATGTCTGAAAATAACAATGAGAAACCATGCAAGGCAATTACTTTTATATCATCTCAAGACACTTTAATCAGCTTTCAAATGATTTTTGAAAATTTTGAAATTAGCTTTCAAATGATTTAATTTTGCATGGTATACACTAATGTAGAACATAGACACAAAGAGGTTTCCCAGCCCATATACACTCCTGTTGTGCTACTGTTGTGCTACAATTAAAAACAAAGCAGTAGCTGACCATCATTTTATCGCTCCTCCGTGGATCTCCCCTCACCTCACATCCTTCCATGTTCTCCACTAAATTCTGCTTCATAAATGGATTTAAGAAAGTTCTCTAGACTTTACAGTCCCATGTTCTTCATGTGCAATGGAAGTCTTTAAAATGAATATATTTACATCCTACACAATATTAAACAACTATGCCAACACGTTACTACTACAGACAATATAAAATACAGAACTCAAAACATCAATTTCTGTGGGTTAGACTACTGAGCAAAAAATTCCTCTCAAGAGAGAGCAGGGTTAGTTTGCTTCTTTCAGCACCAGTCATCCAAATCACTGTCAGACAAGTCAATTAATTTTATTATCATCTAATTCAGTCCTGACATGCACCTAATTAATTCTGAAAATCGATTTTTCTCATAGATTAAAGATAACACCATGAAGTAAAGCTGCTTATAATTATGAGAACTGCTGTGTGTGTAAGCAAAACAGAAAGGGAAGTTAAAAATATGTAATTTATTAAAGACCATTGTGAATTTTTTTAGTTCACAGGAGAAAACAGCAGTTCTTTGGCTTATTTTTTTCAATACAGAAAATTAAATAAAACCTAACTTTACTTTTGTCTTTTTCATTCTCAGCTACAGATTGCACATACCACCCATGTTTTTAGGGGTTCTTTTATGTGTGGCAAATCATGGAACATAAAATGCTTTTAAAGGCTTTTCTTATAGATAATCTAGGTTTGCAACACTTCAGTATCTCAAGCCCTAATGAGATGACACAGAGGAGATAAAGTTCAATAAATGAAGTTATGACAAGAATACTAACTCCTCCTTTCTTCCTACTGTCTATTTTCTTGTGTACTGTAATAAAGTCAAACACTGTAAAGACCCTTGACATTAGGTGTAGGATTTATCTCACATAATTTTAAAACTTGGGGATTTTGTCCGAATTAGCCATATAGGCTTTCTTTACAGGGGTCAGACAAGCATTTCCAGCAATTAATTCAGATATCCCGTTCCCTCTTCATTAACCACAGAGAGAGCCGAAACCCCTATCACATACCCAGCCTTAAACTCATTAAAATAAAGTGCAATGAATCTTCCCACAAGAGAATTTGGATTTACCTGACTATATCTGTGCAACATAACCTGGAGTGTCCCAGTAATGCCCACTAGCCAAAGTCTACTCTTGGCACTGAACCCAGTAGCAAAGTCTCTCCTGGAGTTGAGCCTTCTGAGGTGCCTGTAGCACCACCACCAATAACACCAGGAACACTAATGGCAATTTATCTGCTGTTTCCTCAAGTGCTAAGACTCCAGGGGGAAGGTACAATGATAGCACAGCCCACTCCCACAGCTGATGAGGGACCTATACACATGGTTTTACTTGTTTTGCAACAGCATCTGGAACCATCTGTGGGAGGTCAAGGAGCACAGAGTCAAGCAGTATTAAGAAAACAGTCTTTAAGTTTATTATTATAATAGAAGAAATGATTATTCCACTCCAGTGCAGCACCAGAAGTACAATTGCACTTTTGGCTTCTTACTTGTTCTTCAGGGCTCAGACACCAGAGAACACAGAGAAGAACAAGCATGTAGAGATACTATTGCCCTTACACCCTCATATGTCCAAAGGTTACAGTGTACCTGCTCCTTCTTAGCCAAATTGGCCATCTTAGCCATCTTCTAGTGGATGTCATACAAATACACATTTTTGCCCATGAACCTTATGCAAAAAATTATTTAAATACTGATTTTATCTATCTATCTATCTATCTATATATAAACATAATTTCCACCACATCAGATAACTAATCCTCAGTTCCTTTTCTGAACCTTCAAAACATTTTTTTTTTATCTATGTATCATCTACTGCCAGCACACATACCGCATTTCTATCTATACATAATAGAGCTCAAAGTGGAAATTTAATCTATGAAGTTCCTGGGGGTAAAACTACAGACTCTCAGCCTTCACGGGACTGTAAAGTCTGAAGAACTTTCCTAAATCCATTTATGAAGCAGAATTTAGTGCTCAGACTAAATGCGACATTAGATATGACTAACAGGTACATGTGAACCTGAAGCTAGCTCATGAGTTCAGCAATTTTCTCTTTTATAATAAGAGTCAAGGAAATGATAACCCCAGGCAGCTGGCACATCGTAGTACAAATGAGGCATCTTACTCATGCTGTAGTACTTTGTTTAACAGTCAGACTTATCACCACCATACCACCAATTTTTAATGACTTTTTCTTGGTTCAATCATAA